ACAGAAAAATTGAGGAGATAGCTCTTGCCAGGTCGTTTATAAATACCAGAAATGAGCGTGGTCTATGCACTGAGTCTTTTGGAACACCACATTCTACCTCAATCGTGTTAGATAGTGATCCGCTAACGCGTACTTGAAGCTTCCTTGGTGAAGAAATTTGCCAATACATCAAAGAATAGGATCACTGATTTCGTAACTCCGTAGCCGGTGAAGGAGGATGCGACGATCCAGCAGTCGAAAGCTTTGGAGAATTCCAGTTAGATGATGTCAACTTCTGAACAGATCACCAGCCACTTCCGTCTAACTACCTCCTGCAATCAGTAGGTTGGTGGTGCATGACCGGTGTTGACGGAAGCCATGTTGTTCCGGTGCCAAGATGTCGCATTTTTCCGCGTAGTCAGTTAGATCATCAGAGGTGATCGCTTCCATCATCTTCTCGAGCAGAAGAAGGATACTCACTAGGCGATAGTTTTCTGGATCTGAACGGCTAACGCCTTTAAAAGATGTGGTGATACTGCCAGGTTTCCACACAATGGGGACTTGTTGGTCATCAAAATACTTTTGGAAGAACTGTGACAGTGGTTCAGTCAGCTTGTCGGCCGCAGCCTTCAGTGCCATTTTGCAGATATTCTTTGCTCCCACAGAGCTACCATTGCACAGTGAACATAACAGCACAATTGGCGGGTTGAAAATTGCGCGTCTAAACAATTTAGTCAGTAGTGTGCATGAAATTAATAGACAGGTAGAGGTTGCGAGTTTCGATATTGGGGAATATTTTAGCCGCAGGGCCCTATCTCCTTCTTCGGCATGGAGGGAATCCATGCTTCATTTTATGAAGATTGTTGACATGGCTATACATCAGTTTGTTGTTTGCCAGAAATATTTTTGGCGAGGCACTGTGCTAAGTTACTTTATCTTCCCGGACAAGTGTATTGCAGTGGTTGCGATGGGTCATGAAATTGCCCCAAGTCTCTGAGTCGGGGTTAATCTTGTAGGTACACCATGCTGCATCCCTTATCCCCAGGCATTTTCGGGTCATGCACCTTAGAATTAAAGGCATTTTATGGGAAGAAGAGGCTTGGTCTATGATACTCTGTTGAGGATGTCACTGAGGCTATTAACGAACGCAGTCCAAACGTTGTCAAGTTGACTGTTGTTTGAGAATTCCCATGCCACTGCGACGACGAGTTCTGTAAATACGTCGTAGCGTGTGATTGCATGAGTTAGTTTCGTGTATTCAGATGGATACTCTGCATAGCACACATAGTTAAACGTTATTACTATATGGTCGTTGAGACCTAACGGACTATCCATCAATAACTTATCGACCATGAGCTCTCCATTGGTGAGCACAAGATGCAATATGGACGGCTAGTTTGCTGACCTGAATCTAATGGGCGCGGGGACAAAATTATATAAGGAAATATTAGCAATCAGTTCATGCAAGTTTGCTTTGAATTGCTCATTTGGTAATGCCGATACCTCCAGATCGTTTAGGTAGAAGTCCCTGGAGATGAGAATGTGACTGTACCTATTGCGTGTTACTCTCTACAGCAAATGGATCAAGCGGGAATCAATTTCCGGATCGGACATTTCGGGGACGGTAAACGACAGCTACGAGACATGCGTCATTGTGTCTTAGTCGGTGACAGCAACAGAGTGAGTCGATAAGGTGAGTTTGCAAATCTTCAAATATTGCACATTAGAGGTCGCTGCGGTATTAGAGTAGGACCCCACCTCCTCTGCTGGGGCAGTCGTTCCGGTTTAGTGATATTCCGGCTATCTCAACCTCAGCATCAGTCACTTCTTAGTGTAACAGAGTTTCATTAATAGAATTTAGATCCCCAGCATCCACAACCAGACATAACCGAATTTGGCTAAGTTTACAGATGAGTCCTTGGGTGTAGTGTACAAAAATGAAAGTTGCTCAGAATTGAGCAATGTTTTGGAGGTTATGCTATACATACGTGAAGTTTTGCGGACCAGTGAGTGGCCGGCGACTAATGTATTTTTTCATTATGTATTAGTGAAGGATATAACGTCCTATCCATCGCCCGGCTATTTAGCCCTATGTCTAATCTTCTAGTTACAATGTCATTTGTCTGGTCAGTATCATCTTCTACAGGTTGTATGGGCTCACCCAACACACTACTGGTGCATTGTTCTTTTATAGATTTCATCGCGTTTGGTTCTTTGTGTGTCATCATCTCTAGGAGGAATATCGCTGACTGTCCACAGACGAAGCTCAGATATTAGCCTGCAACGGAACATGTACCAAATGTTTAGCCTCTGTGCTACCATACGTTTTGACTGTACGACCACCTTCAACACTCTCGGGCTTCTTGCTCTGTAGTTCGGTGAGGTAGAGAGCCGTGACATGGATTTCGCTAAACATCATCCAAGCAAAGTGTTTCACGAATATAACACCGCTGTTCTTATTATTGAGTTATTATTTCTTACTCATCTCATGCTTTAATTTCAAAGCTCCGGGAAAATTTGTGGTAGTCCTCTAAGTTGTGGTTAACTCGAAACGATAGCCACATGGGGTGTCTGGAAAGATTCGGATGGAGGAATGTTCATTTTTGAGACTAACTATCGACAGTAGTACTAATTCTACTTCAGTGATGGAGTTCAGCACAACGGGCAGTGGTCTTGGCTCTCCGGAATGCTTAGACTCGGTGTGCCGCATGATATGCAGTACGTGTACAGGTTTCAGCACAACTCCGATTAGGTTATATAATATATCAGTGGTTGTGGTCATGCAACTACCTGCCTCATATTGATATCGACTTTGATTCTGGGATATTGGAGCACAGTGCACTTAGTAAAGGTAGTTGTTTTTCCCCTTTCGACATGTCATGCATAGTGTATGAAATACTCAGAGAAGTACCGCAGGAAACCGGAGGGGTTTGCATTAGGGAATACCCCGCTACGCTCCTTAGTATCCGAACCACATAGGGGTGCTTATTTTAAATGACGGCTCTTCTTGAAAGCAACTGTAACCCAACTTTCGCTAGTACGGGCTTGCTGCTTTTCTACGCACTACGCGGAAGGTTGGAAGTTACTCCGATCAAACTGGGAACCGCATTATTCACCAGTGAGCCACGTGTGGTAGTGGAACAGCAGTTGATGTTCTGGACTCTACGTGTTGTGTTGCTTACGGTGTTACTGGCAGTTCTTCCAAGGATAAGAGCAGCCCTTACGGAGAAGGATTAGTTTGCACAGTCCGCTATGCTTACCCCAACCGTAGTGATTTTTTTGGTCAACATTTCTTCAAACTTGGCTAGTAGCTGGTTTAACCCAACCACCTTGATTTACTTTTAAAATTCCTTTCCCTCTTCTCGGCTTGACTTCAACCGTTGCCCTCATGTAAACATATCGCAGAGCAACGTGAAACCAATCGATTATCCTTCCAACATCTTCATCTCTATTTCCAATATGTCTACTACAATTTGCCTCTTAATCGCTTACGCCTAGCGTACATTAATACCGAAACCTTTGTGTCGGTTGACAAATACTAACCAAGCTCGCCTCAAACACAACAGATGAATCGTCTATCCTATCTCTCGGCTCGTTTGTAAAGCTAGTGAAATGAAAATTAGTAACCACCTCCGAGTTCAAAATTTTATAGCACTCCATAATTTACAGAATATGTTTTGCCTAAATCAGGTGCTATCTACCATAAGGGTGATTTAGGTATTATTCTTTCGCTTGTCCCCACACAGCTTCACATCTTTTACCTGAGGTATAGGGAAATTTATGATACGTGCAGGGAGTTATCCTTCAGGACTCCACGCATTATTCTGTACCAATTCAAGACATTTTAACCGGAAAACTATTGATGTTAAAAAGGCATTATTTTTTATTTATACCTGACATTTGAAATATGCTAAATATTAGATAAAGCAATTTAAAACCTTGGTCAAGGCGAAATGAACTGTCTCGTAAACCTGATAATATACACTATTATTTTCGTTAACATACACATTGGGACAATGCATGTTTTAACTGTACGAAGCATGTCATTGTTGGAGAAATGACTCAATAGGTAAATGTGCTAGTTTTGTCGAAAACGATCCATTAGTGTCTTGATTAATCGTAGTCAGCTTCCGCATTCGTTGATATAAAAACAAGGTGTGTAAATAACTCACTCATTAAGGAATCATCATGTGGTATTCTTGTTTCGACTTTGAACAGTCTGGGCATGAGTGAGGAGTTCAAACTATTTTATGAATGAAAGGAGAGAGTATAGAAAAGTAAAGATTAAAACCACGTATTTGCTTCGAATGTTTCCCAAATGCTTCAATATATTTGTGTTACCGTACGTTTGGTAGTGACATTTTGTCTCAGGGAAAGCATCATCAACAGTCAGTTTCTACACACGGTGGATCCTTCATTGCCTAATACTAATAAATATGTTAAGAGGTGCTGACGGACGAAAAGACGAAGAGTTATCACATTTTGTATGTTGTTGGTAGGCACACACGATCAAGTAATCATCGATGCAGCTGCGTTCGATAAATTTTGCGCACATGTTTTTATGCATATCCGACGGTTTCTTGCGTGCCCCAAACCACAAAACCGAACACATAATAGTCGGTGTTTAACTGGGCGGTTTTCTCCTAATCAGGAAAGCTGGTGATGTTTCGGGCCGTCTGCTTAGCGACTAAATGCGCAGTGCCAAGTTATCATTTCAAGTGAATTAACCCCGACCTCACTTATGTTCCTTCAAGTTTACTGACTTGTTAGGAACCTACACGTTTTAATATTACATAACGAATATCGTCTGTCAACGAAATGATGTGACTTTAATAATAGGGTGTTTCGGATTCTTCGGAAAATGATAGAATGGTAAAAATTTTCTGCACATTTAAAATTCGTGACCAAGCAATCCACCCGTTAGAAACACAGGTAATTCCGGAGATTTGGGGCCGTTTGCGTGAAGTTGATTGCACACAAAAACAAACCAACAAACTACCTTACATTCAGACACCATGGACTTACAGGTGATAAGGTTCGACGGCCACCTGGAATGAAGTGAATGACATGCTTGCTATTTGTTATAGAGATCGATGTCTTTAGGCTGACCGTATGCGAGTGATAAAATTAATAATTTTATCTGAAATTCGAACTGGAAATCATAGCAACCTAAATGGACTTGAATTATGGATATCTTAATCATCATCCACCGTTAATTTTTAGTCTGGCTTAGCTTCTACCATCGAAGTGCAAAGGGTTTCTCCAATGTTGGACTGGAGCGCCTTCTGCGCTGACCCTTGGTTAACATCAGCTAGAAGTTGTTCAAAAATTCAAGTACCAAGAAAGTTGTATTAACCACTGTGTGATGGAACATGAGATCACGAATCGTATAGAAAAAGCCCGAGACGCTTTCACAAACCATCGCCACCCCAGCTCTGAAGGGTAAAAGGTACAATGAAGCGGCGCGTTTGATTCCAATGTATACTTGTGAAACCTGGCCCCTTATATCAACCGATATAAGGAGGCTAGTTAACTTACACCCCCGGTGCTTTCGCAATTTGGCTCACATCCGGTGGGAGCATGCATCCGTCGCAAGTTCTGTTCTCGTTTTACCTATTGTGGAACATTAGCTGAGGTGTTTCCCTGTTCCAACTAACGTGTATAATGATTATGAGGAATTCGTCAGTAAAATTTTCCATGACCAGGTTAACTCCGCCTCATTTATATCGTGTTAATTTGTTGCAAATTACATTCTTATATGAGCAGATAATTCTAATGATTATGCAACTGGGAAACGACTCTCAGTTTGCATTCTCAAACGACTAATATTTTAAGGCTTCCTATGCATCAACAGAAAACAAACGTGTATGAGGTTCGTGAGGACTAGCTTGAAACAACATTGCTTTAAATACACCATCTGCCTTGTCAATGGACTACTGATTAGACACAATCAATGAAATATTGTCTTATATCATATGTTGATAACATAGGGTGTTTAAGACTTATTTTTCCTATAGTAGTTTGGATCACATAGCTTGTTATAGATACTGATACGATAACTATTAAGTTTGCCTACTCAACTCCCTGTTGTAAGGAATGTGCCTTGGTTATAATTCGGTAGAGCTTCTATTGCTGCTATTGATCATTATATTTTAGTGTATTTGCGTGAATCGGTATTTGTCACAAACAGCCCTCAAATCTCTGTCATAGCTCATCCATTGTTGCCTTTTCGTTTAGTCCACACGTTGTTCAGCTTTAGGCTTGTAGATTTTGATAATCAGAATAGACATTAAGTTCACCACTTATGAGCGTCATTTCTGTCAAAAATGCATTTACTTGCTATACACTGAGTGCATAATCAACAAATTGATATGTCTGATGTAGCGATTCCTGGCCAAAGGGAATCAAGTAACTGTGGTATGTATACAACGCAAACAGTATTTGTACACATAAGCAACATCTACGATAATACACTCAGAGTGGGAAGCCGAAATCAAGAAGAACGCGTACCATGTATATTCATTATGTCAGAGGCTATCGCAAGACGTCACTTGCGTCTGATGACATAATGAAACAACGGTTTTAATACCGTAACTGCTTACCATAAATTCTCTGTCCGATGTTCCTATCTCGATGTACGTCGGTGAAGTCCTGGACCTGAGCATGCACAAAGTAAAGTTTGATAAAACAAGCAGCTGACATGTATCTAACTCATCGGCTCATTAACACCGAAGAAATTAATAGCACACAGCAGACTACAAGTTGTGTCATATCAAATTTTCCAGACAGGCTGTATTACAGCTTAGGGCTTTCCGCGAGCATACGGTGCTCTTATACTGTGTATTATATATTACGGCGAATGTGGATATTTCATTCGTATACACACGGACTGTGTACACTCAAATATCACAATGATGCATACAGTTCTTCGAATATGATCAAAAATAAAGTACCTCAGTCGGTGAATATGTTCTACTGAGCAGAAAGCAATCTCCAATCAACAATGTTGTCAGGCTATGCTACAGAACATTTGGTATATTGCATAATTCCTGTATTGCGGATAGAAAATTGAATGCGTAAACGGTTTATTTGCATGGTGGGAATAATCAAGACAAAACAGCGAAAAGAATCTATGGTGATACAATGAAGATAATTTTGGTAGAGTCACTATAGTGTACGCAAGCGTTGTGCGAGATACAGCGTGTTTCCACTGTGTAACTTAAGGCTTTTCGTTGCGTCATTTTAAAACAGTATCCTACATCAAATCATATCGGCTACAATTCTTAATGTAGATGGGTTATGCTAGAGTCCATACGTTTTTTCAAAACTTGATTACTGATCCTCAGCATCATGTCCTTAGCTATTAGGCTACTGGGTAGGTGACGTTACTAACCTTTGTAAAAGATGCTTTATAGCTTAGTTTGATATGTATGGTAGGTAAAAGCTTTTTGTGCTTTGTGTCACCTTTCTGTCAGAGTTACGATATTGATTTTGGTCCAGAGCATTCAGGCCTGCTTGGCAAATTCTACATGAGGCCGCACTTAAGTGTTATGTATCTGCGGGGAGAGAGATGGATAAAAACGTCCCATCGCCGTCAGAGGTATACCGAAACTCAGTATGACAGTGGTATTAGAATAAACATTAGGATCGTTACCTAAAAATTTGGACGATACAAGGAAAAATCTAACGAGGTCTGTAGCTTTTCACAACTTGGAATGAAAAGCTTAGTGTGCTCAAATTCTCAGGAGGCGTTAAAAGATCCCGTGGTACCAATTTTCTCATGAAGATTACTTGCAAAGAGAGAACCCAAAATATACAGCAGAAAGCAGTTAAACAACACTTCTATGGTGAGCTACTCACCGAATTAGTTCGTCAGCATTTGTCCCCAAACAACTGGCCGTGGTTAAAACATATTTGCTGTAGATCAGTACACCTGTACAAATTCTCGGGTCCGGTTCCGATTTGGTGATTCTGACTAGCCAAGTGTACTCTGAGTTGGTCAAAACCGTGCCCCCAAATATGCGCTTTTGCAGTCTCGCTAGTGCAGCTGTAATAAGAGAACATATGAACGAAGTTATAACTCCTTTGATGTAAATCCCATAGGCTTCAGTTCAGGTGGAGGACGATGACACTTTCAGTCACACTCACCATCTATCAGTTGACTTCAAATGCAATGTATGTACTGTTTCAGACTGCGTAGGTGTGACGCAAACAAACACTAGGAGTATTACTAAATTTTAGGGGGCTTAGTATGTATGTGAGAAGATTTGTCGCATCTAGGGTCAGCCAGACAGTCACCACATATTCAGGAAAGCACTTTCCTCTATTTGCAGTGAACGTCTGATTGTCTCAAGCTGTGCGCAATATCCTCCCACAGAGTGCGGGTCTTCTAACACAAATTGCTACGGACCTGCGTATTTCTAACTGAAACAGAAAGGGTTAAACAGCTGATAGGCCATTTGTTAGATCGTATGCTCATCGTTTACATTCACTTCGTTTGCCTGAACAGGTACAGTACTAATTTGGTAATTATGGCCACAGAACCTCTAGACCGTCCTGACCTAGGGCATTGTGTTTGAGTGAATCCTTAACATAAATCATTTACAACAAGGGGAACAATGTGTAAAAATTATACGTGATGTCTAGGAAAACGCGGTGGAACTGTGCCTTTCAAATGGAAACATTAAGAGTAAATAACCGAAGGCAGTCTTACCAACATTAAAGATGAGACATAGCCAAATTCCGAAATTCATCTTCCTGAAATAAAATGAAAATAGGTCGGTTTAATGAGAAAATGCTTTTGGAGTATATAAAGTGAAACAGGCTAAAATCTTACATTTGCACCTGCAAGGAAACATTTACAGCGCAATGATACAACACTCGAATATGTACATGAAAACGGACATAATAAATGGTGTCGTCCACTGTATACCTTACCAACCCTAAAGAGCGACAACTGGACGGGTGGTTGAAAGATACCAATGGTAATCTCTTTCTAGCTTTTATATACCCTCAGAGATTGGTCAATTGAAGAAGCACCACAGACAAACCGCCTCCCAACTTTAAAAAACTAACAATGCGTGTTCATTGGTCAATGCGTGTGACTTGTGTTTAGTTGTCGCTTAGCTGAGGTACTGACATTCAACTAGAGATCCACTGCACGCACTTTCAACCAAGTGTACAAATGGCGGTTTGTGATCAAGCTACTGCGTTCGTAATTGGCCCACCATGACAGGATGATGCAAGCTGAAGTAAAAGGGAAAACCAACGCTTCTTGCAATTGGTACAGAGCAGTGACTATTGCATTATTCACCTTACAGTCTAGATGCGATAGAAATAAAATATCGGCACTGGCCAACGACTCCTTCAGTACAACGGCAGTATAACTGATCGAAATCCCGGCTTCCTCAAAAAAGCCCCATCAACCAGTGGTCCAACGACATCGGACCATTCCTTGACACGTAACTCAGAACAGGTACAGGCTACAGTATCAGTGGGTTTGCAATGTAAAATCTTATTTCTAGTTTTCAGTTGTTCTTGGTAAAGAATGTTAGTGAAATGTAAATCCAACAACGTTTTGAACTGCTGTATAGAATGTGCCTCTACCAATTGCTCTGGTAGACAGTTACAGACATTTGCATCTTCCTTTCAAAACACAAGGTTGGAGAAGTCGCGTTATATCTGGCACCACCAACTTGTGCCGAAGATTGCACTTGCTGTATTGCCTTCACAAATGAAACAGCGGCCGTAACATGGGTATGTCACCAAGATATACTAGGCGGTGAGTCAAAATGAGTTCGACTCGCACCCGACCATAGAGCAGTGTGTAGAGATCTAGTTTCTCGCGTCCATCTTTATACGGCAATGCTTGAAAACCCGAAATGCACCACGTAGTGACCTGCTGGACACATTCGTTATTCTGCGTCTCACCAAAGGTGATTGGATAGTGGGCGGGCGGGCCGTATTCTAATATTGGTCACACAATGGAGGGGAAGAAGCGAGTAGCCACCTCTTCAGACCAAGTAACGGAGCATGCGCTGTTCACCATAATATAGCCCATACCTGTAGTGCACAGACTTCAAAAGTACACACAAGTCCTTGGCGGATGGCGTAAGATGTAATCGCTGGACGTCACCGGTGTAAGTTGGATACGCACTATCCCTACTCAATTGCATGAATACTGGATTGCCTGGCTTGACTAGGAGGGTGAAAATGGCAAACCGCATGGAGAGGCGATTTAGGTCGTAATCAAGTAGGCTGCAGTCGTCTATGGCACTTATTCCTCGCTACATCCTCAGGTAGATTTTAAACATGGCACACGACAAACAAGAAAACTGGAGTAGATCATTGCTGATGATTACGAAAACTGGGAGCCCCAGCACCATGTCTTCGGGTACGCAACTACTGGAGAGAAACTAGTCATTTAGATGATAAATTTGTACCACCTCCGAATAAAGTGGATGGTACGGAGTGAAGGGATGCCGACTCGTGTTGGCATCAGTAGTTCTTTTGATTGGGACAGCTGTAATAAAGCTAAATTATAGGTGTTTCCATCTACCTTGATCCTAATAGGTATCAGGCAACTTGACTTGTAGTTATTCACCTTACTGGAATTACCACCTTTCTAACGCAGCTTTAACATTGAGTATTTATATTTTCTCGGTAAATGACCTTTGGTCATTGAACACTTAAACAAATAAGTCACGGCAGGTGAAATGATCGCCACAGGGACCTGCGTATATGTGCAGTCTGTGATGGACACTGCGTTTTTTGACGTCAACTTTGGCCAATAGCTGACGCACCTGTACAACGCAAACCAAAGTGATGATTTTGATAAGCGCGATGCACGTCGAACTCGGTGAAGACACCAGATCACAGGCCAACACTGAATAAAAGTGCGCCAACAAATCGGACACGCGCTTGAAGTTGTCCGAGACGACTAGCACTGGGAAATCACTTGCAGGGTTCAGTCGCCGCTTTCCCTAAGCAAAGATTCTTTTCAGGGCTCTCTTGGAGACCATTGAGAGCTGTTCCTCCAAATCTCAAAGTTAGTTTGTCTCGTACCCTTGCATTTATTTTCCTGCCTCTTGTACGCCTCACATTAGCAGGGAGAGTCAGGCAGGAGGCATTTGTCTTACAATGGAAGCAGCCGTAAAGTAATTTCGCCATTAACCATGGACTGAATCAAAATTTGACCCTTCATGGGTAAAACCTAGAACACCAAATGCTTCTCCCTCTCTTACAACAGTCCAAAAGCTTTTCAAATTGCAGCTCAAGACAGAGACTAATCCACTTGCCCAGCACCTCCAGTAAGTCCGTCGACGTCACTTTTCCAGTAGTTGTGATCTCACTCCAGCAGACTGGAATACGGCTAAGATCGATCCATGCTGGCTATGAGCACAGGGTGATCGCTTGCTGCAAAGTGCTCTAGGATCAACACATCATACGCATGTTGTTCAGAAACTGTTAACGTTAAGTCTAGGTACTATGGAATTCAACACGTTTCTATATGTGTCAATTCGTATGGGTTGTCGTCTTCCACTTTTAAATTCCAAGTCCACGAACTGTGCTTCGACCTCAAAGTGTCGGGACAAAAGTTGGACTGCAAGTCAGTATACTCTAAGATAATTAAAATCAGCAATAATTATAAAATGGAGACGGCCCTTGTGGCCACGGAGATGAGGCAAGTAATCGAAACAAAGGCTCAGGGGCAAGTGATGAACTGCACCCACTGGCTGCTCTCCGCGCCTAATGTGGATTAGCTACTAGAGCTGGTCACACAGGCCATCGTTGCTTCTGTAAACGTTCACCATGCTTCCGCACAGGAAGTAGGGATGTAAAGCAAGACCTCCCCGTGAGCAGTCGATAATGTACCGCAGCGGGAGCATGTATAGCCACCGAGCTCGATTTCTTGTGCAATTACCTTAGGATTCAGTTCTCTGTGCTAGTTCCCCTTCGTCCGGTCATCCAAGTGCAACGAAAAGGCACAGCCCATTACGCTTTTCATAAGGCTGGAAATGTTGCTAGGCTAATAGCAGGCTGGCTTAGCACTCACTGGGTCTGCATGAATTGTGCGTAATGTGTTTATCCGGCTTCCTGAAAGCATGGATACTATCCGAATAGGTAGAATGCTGATAGTTGTTACCACATCACTTTTCCTCCCTTCAGCTCAATAATGGCAAGCATGAGCCGTCGTCGATCCACCGGATAAATTCTAAACCAGCTCGGATCCTCGAACCTTTCAAGTTATTTAGATTTGAGAATATAACTTGCGGACTGTCATCGTCCACGAAGTTGCTTCATATGGTATGATTTTGCAGTTGACGGCTCCAAAACCGCTCTCACCCAAATCGATAAATCTGTCAATCGGTCTTGGTAACAGCCCGACGTCGTGATTGTAGAGCATATATATAAATCGCTGGACTGAGGCATGTGGAAGATTATGAAGATAAAAGGTTTCTGGTTAACTATGTTTGATTTTCAGAGCAAAGATTTCATTGAGCTTCTCGGAATTTGGCCTGCATTTGAACTTTCACTATGTTTTCCAGGTGTCTTAAGTACATAGGCACTATCACACTGGGATATCTGCAGTTGTAAGATACCACATGGTTAGAGGATTCGTGTCAGGTGACAATAGGCTGTCGGCAGATGTATGACTTCGTGCCGGTGAGTATACCCAGGAAGCGAAGCAAGGATTATTTGGAAGCTGGATGCGTTTGGGGCTGGCGTGTTACGCCAAACAAACTCAGCTGCTTGCAATATACTGATTCAGCCTACGACAAGGATGCATCACAATTCTGCGATTGCTAAACATATATTTTACGAAATCATATTGCATTTGACAGTGATGCTGAATGTGCTCAACCGATTGTCCAAAGTATGAAGCGCGACCAGTAACGTGGCATATAACACACTAGTTTTATTGTCGACAAATTTTTATATGGCGCCGCAAAATGAATATTTCTGCAACATGAATAATTCGAGATCAATATGGGGATCAGTTGTGGAGCGTAAAGCGATAATAACGTATCATAAATTAAACGGAGGAAATACAGCTGTAAAATGTTACAATATTTAGTATGCTGGTTGTAAACTGAATGATAGAGTAATTTCCACGAACTTATTCAGATTCAAGGAGCAATCCAGCAAGAAAGAATCTTGTTAATATGGTTTATAAATAAACAACGGTTTGCGGCTTTCCGCAATCCTGCAGTTTCACCTGGGATCGGCTGATGACTTACTACGGTTGGAGGGAAGAATAACTCATGAAATCTAGCTGACAGGATGTCTCAGCGTTGGGGGCGCACATTGTAACAGGATTCTTAAATGAATATGCATCTGCACGGATCTCAAGTTATGCAGCCTTAGCCGAAATCAACAGCGTGAGTTGTCGCATAAAACATTTACCCAACCTCCTCAATAGGTTTGTTAATAAGAAGCTTGCTGCTTTTGACTAAATTCTTAAGTCTCAGTTGGATATCATCACAACTTCCGGGATTGAACTGCTAAGTAGATAGAGGTTTTATGGCACATTACGTAATGGTTGCAAAAGCTCGGCTCGAAAGTCGATTCTGAAAGACGTTGACCCAAGCAAGATGGGCAATGATCCTCAAATGTATGTGAGCTCCGTTACGACCAAGTTCTTAGAGAAGTTACTAAAACTAGCGCGCTGCAATCGCTGACATAGAAAGACGTTCTGACAAGTTCACAGCCAGCTTTATTAAAAACCGCTCATGAATCATCAGAATTCGACTAGCCAATAGCTATTAACCACTGTTAAGTGAATGATTTTCAGCACTGCGCAGCATACTTATGTCGACGTAATCCACATTGATT